GCTTGGCGGGCAGCGACGGCCACCTTGCCATCATAAAGTGACAAGTCTGTGGATGAGAATCAACATGCTGAAGGGGACAGAGTGGGCAGATGGAAAATCCCTGGGTCTATGGTGACACTGTTGAGCAGCTGAACTAACCTGGGAGCCTGCTTCTGGTAGGCATCACCCTGAAGGCACCCTGCCCCTCTGGGCCACACGGAGGCCAGTTCTGACCTCTTCTAAGTCTCTCCACATCTGCATGCTGGGACTTGGGGGGCCGGGACCTCTGCCGCTGAGCAAGGGAGGCACTCGCCTTGGGTGTCAAATTTAAGGAGGTGGCAGAGAACTCGGTAATCAGGATAAATTTTATGTTTAAAAAATCAAAACAAATGCACAAACGTACAATTAACAAAGTATCCAGATTTTAAAATAAAGAGACTAAAGAATCGGTGTTGCCACCTGGGTCTGCCCTACTTGTGTGCCCACACAGGGCACAGCCAGCGATGCCCACCAGTGACAGTCCACCTCCTGAAGCAGGGCTCTGGGGTTTGGAGAATGGGGCTCCAGGCCGGGCTCTGCCAACGACTTGCTGGTGATCCCAAGCAAGCCCCTTCCCTTCTCCCTGGACTTGGGTCACCCCGTCCTGCATGGGGCCGGGGAGTTGCCAGGGCGACCTGTCCCCCCATCCCCATGGCCTTCTGAGGCTACTGTCCCTGTCCCTGGGAGGCCGTGTTTCCAGGGCCATTGACTCCTGGCTATTAATATCTCAGCCATCCCTGGCCTGATCAGGGTGTTTAATGACTGCCAGCTGTGGCTCCGGCCCCCTCCCCCGGGGGAGATAAGAGCAGTTCCTGTTCCCACATAGGGGAGGAGGTGGGGGAAGGCAGGGTCACTGCGCATCCAAACAGGCGGTGGGAATGGAGGGGCTGGCACTTAAGCACCCTCATCCCACCCTGGCCCATCCCACTGGACGGCGGTGTCGGGGAATGGGCTCCCTGTGCACGCCGCCCCCACAGGGGCTGCCCTGGTCTCCCCACCTGGGGCCCTTCTCAGCAGCCAGAGGGACCTGCCCCAACCCCACCCTCCTCCTCTGGCCTCATGGAGAAAGCCACCACTGGGTTCCTGCTGCAAAGGGCCCCCAGCACCTGCTTACCTGGATTCAGGTGTCCCTGGCACCCATAAGCTCCCTGGGGACCCAGAGACCCTTACCTAGTCCTCAGGGACTACTGCCATGTCTCCTCATCTGAAAGCTGCTCCCATTCCATGCTGCTGGCAGATTGGCGCCATCCTCATCAAGGCGATGGTGGCCCTCTGCGCCAGGATGGTGGGGGAGGGGATCCTCGTCCTTTCCTTCTCAGGAAATGACCTCCTGAGTTAACTGGCCTTTGCCCTCAAGAACTGGGGTCCGTGCTTGGCTGAGGGCAAGGGCCTAGCCTGTGACGATCCATGGAGACCCGGCTCTACCTGGGGTCCCAGCTGGGCCTGGGGCAAGGATCGCTGTGTGCCACCATGCTCAGGGGTCTGGGCCTGAGGGCCAGGCTCTGGATCTCCTTAATCCCTGGAGCCCCCAGTCGTGTGGCCTCACCACCTCCTCCCTCTTCTATCTCACTCTGAATTGGGGCTGAGGATAGTTTTGGGGGCCCTAAGGCCAACCTTGGTGAAGTCCTTCAGGCACCCACCAGGTGGCGATAGAGATGAGCGGGCCCTGCCCCACAGGGTAGGAGGGGGCCTCTGGAGCTGGAGGGAAGAGGGGGTGCGGGTGAAATTCATTTTGTGGTCATCCCCACTGCAGCCGACTGCACAGGCAGCTGGGATGTGTGCCGACGGCCTCGGCCAGGTGACGGCGGTGGTCCAGCTTCCCCCTGTTCCCGAAGGCCTGCCCCTGCCACCTCTCAGGGCAGGGCCCGACCCATGTGCCCCACTTCTATGCCCGTGTCTTGGGTTTCTCTGTGTTTTATTCACTTCCCACCCTCCTGGTTGATGACTCTGCTCCTTTCCCCTGGGCTCTCTCCTTACCCTACAGCCATGACTCACTAATGGTGGCATTTCAAGCCCTGGATAGGCAGGGACCAGCTTAGTCTGGGGGCCCCTCCTGGCTTTACAGCCCTCAGGCAGCCAGTAGGGTTCCTGGTCCGGAAGGGGGGTGCTGCCCTTTCCTGGGCAGATTCTTTGCCTCTAGGGCCTGTTGGCTCCTCCCATTTCTGTCTCTCCTCTTCCCTTCCCCCTCCTCCACCAGCCTGAGCTCGCCCCTCAGCTCTCTGACCTTGTTCGCAGCACAGCCTTCATCTTCTGTGCGCCCCTTGGCCCCTGGATGCCTGGAGCTGCCCCTCCGGCTGCTCTCTGCCCCCTGAGCCCAGAGGACGGAGCAAGTGGCAGAGGGCTCTGGGCAGCCTCCTCCTCATGAGCCGAGCAAGCCTTAGCCAGGAACTAAGCTAAGCCATATGGTGCAGGTGGAGAAACTGAGGCCCGGAGAGGGGCAGAGACCTGCTCATGGTCTCGGAGAAAGTCTGACACGGAATCGGGACTAAAGACGAGGGCCCGGTCTCCTGGACCTCACTGAGCAGTATGGGGGGTGCACAAACAAGGTCTCTGGAGGGGGTCCCGGAGTAGGGAGGTAGGGAAAGGAGACAGGGAGAATAAGCGACACAGCCTGGCTGGGGAGGGGAGCAAGGACATGCCGCCTGCTCCCGATCTCTCATCCCCGCTGTGCTGCGGGCGAGCAGGGCTGTGAGACCCTCAGGGACGAAGGGACCAGGTGTGAGACAGGGAGGCAGGAGGGTGCAGCAGGTGTCCCGGAAGTCCCAGCTCTCCCCTGCTCGCACCTCACTGGTGGTGCCCACCATTGGCCCAGCAAGGGGGAGGGGAGAGAGAGGGCTGAGAATTCTCTCTCCAGCGGCCAGGTAGCGCCTGAAGTCGAAGTCGGGGCGCCGCCCTCTTCCCTGTCCTACAGCCGACATGCACAGGGCGGGCATGGCGTGTGGTTCGACATGGAGAGGGCTGGCCACTCCTGGACGTGCTGGAGCACAGACCAACTATACCTGGGACTGGCCCCGCCCTCGGCTCAGGGGCACTCTCGTTCTGGCCTGACAACCCCCGGCGAGGGCCCCTGCAGGGTGCGGGGCTGCAGCTGTCCTCGAGGGGGCCTAGGGTGGTGGTGAGTGGCCAAGGCTTCGAAGGAGCCTTGCAGGCAGATCTGAGCCTCTGCCAGCCCATTCTGGCCTCTTTTTACCAGCCTGCCGTCCCTCTCCTGTTCCTGCAGCAAGACGACCTCCTTGCAAGTTCATAGGAAGCGGAAGCCAAGGGGGCAGCTCAGGCAATGGCTTCGGAGACACCTCTTGCTGACTGACATCATCTGCTGCACCGTCCTGCCTCCCTGTCTCACCCGTTCTATTACTGGTGCTGTCTCTGCTCACTCACTTGTTTGGGTGCCATTTGTTCTGGCCCCCGTCTTCCTCCTCTTGGGTAAACCCCAACAATGGCACCACGTTCACCTCACAGCCCTTGGGCTCCTTGTCTGCAGGAATGACCGCAGCCTGGGACATGCTCACACTTAACCACTTCTGGGACTGCGGGCAGCCTTGTTGGCTGTTTCATATCGGTCCAAGAATAGGACTGTCTTTTCAAGGCTGGATTTAGGGGGTGGGGAGACACCATGAGGCCCTGGTGTAACCTTTTCACACTCAGAATAAAGAAGCTACCCCTCCGTGAGGTGTCAGCTGCGCCCTTCTCACAGGGAATGCGCCCTCCCACAAAGCCACAGGGGTGGCTTCGGTGTGCCCCTCCCCCGAATGGGGGGAGAGGGCTGCAAGGGGGAAGTTAGTCGCCACTTCAGGTCACACGGGAACACCGACCACCAGAGAAACCGAGCCATCCCAACATGACATTTATTGCACAAGCGTGGATCTTCTGGCTGGGCTGTGGGCAGGCAGCCTTGACCACAGGGGCGCAGGGCAGACACGCGATGCGATGACCGCCAGGCGCTTGTCTAGATGATGCATGGGCTGTGGGACTCCTCGGCCGCCCTCCAGGGAGGGCTGGGCAGGAATGGGCTTGCAGGGCCGGTGGGGATACCAGTTGGTGGTGATACAAATAACCAAGAGGATCCAGCGTGTTAGAAGGTAGAAAAGGCAGCAGTAAAAAGTCTGTGCTTTCCCTTGCCCATCAGTCAGATTTGAGTGAGTTCAAATCCTGCTGTGTGACAGGACCAGGTACCTGCTCTCGGTGAGGCTCGGTGTCCTGATCCGTGAAGGAGGGACAGTAATTCCCACTTTGCTGGGTTGATGTGACAATAAGGGATGCAGGAGGCCATCTCTCTGGGCCTGCTCCCCACTGTTGGCACCACGGGTGGGCAGCCAAGCGCATGGGCGGGTTTGGCGGCAGTCTCCTTGGATTGTTCCAAACATCCTGGGACCGCTCTGCTTCAGCTGGGTCTCCGAAGATAGCTGTGCTCCCCAAACAAGAACTCCGTCTCACAACCGCATCTGCCGGAGGCAGAGAAACTCACTGAGGAGCGGGCAGCTAAGAGGAGGACACTGAGGGAGGGGACTGCACCCTCAGAGAGACGCCTGAATGGCAATGCTTCACCCAAGGGGACTTGGCAGCAAGGTTGGAACTTCGGGCACTCTTGAGGTGGGGGTGCCCAGTGACATTTCCAATGACTCAACCAGGTTCCCATTGTACTGTTTGGGTGGCTGGTTGCCTTCCCCAACAAGTGGAGAGGGGGTGGAGTCCCTTGAAAGTATGCAAATTTCTTGCCATTGATTGGCAGGGAGGGCTTTTGAGGGAGGAGTCTGATGACTGCGCTCAAGCCCACATCTTCCAGGGTGCGGCTCTTAAGGTCTCTTGCTTGCTCAGAAGCGGCTCAGGTATAAGCTCTCTTCTCTCCCCAGGCAGGCGCAAGAGCAGCGTTCTCCAGGGGCTTCCAGACAGTGACCTGGGGGCCAGGGCAGCCTCCGAGCCCAGGGCTGGCGCTGGCCTCGCCCTGGCAGGCCTCTGTCCCCGGTGCCGCCCGGGGTGGGTGGGTGGGTGCGTGCGGGTGAGTGGGGCCTCTGTGGGCCCCTGGGAGCCTGGCGTCAGACCAGGGAGTCCTCGGCCTGGAAGCTGGAGCTGCGGCGCCCGCTGGGGCTGACGCGGGTCAGCAAGGAGACTTGTGTGCTGCACGTGGCCCCGCTGCTGCCTCCTGACGGGTACTGGTATTCGGGGCCCCAGCCCAAGATGCCCTGTAGGTTCCAGCGCCGCCACTTGCGCCGAAGCTCCGCCTGCACCTGGGAGAAGGGAGGGTGGTCACACCTACAAAGCCTCCTCCACTGCTGACTGGGCTGTTTTCCCGTTAGGGTGCTGAGCCAGCCAGTCATGTGCGCTCGAGAGTCTAAACTGAGAGACCCGGATGCTCCCTTGGGGAGAGCAGAATTGGGGCGCATTGGAGCCAGGGTCAAATCAAGGCCTTGGAGCAGGGGCTGGTGGGAGGCAAAGAAGATCAGAGAACAGTCTAGGGGTGGCTGTATCCCCAGTTCTTCTGATCCCTGCCCTCCCGCTCACTTGAGCTCATCCAAGTGGATTTCTGTGCTTTGTAACCAAGGTTTTGCTCGAACTCAACCTTCACTGGCTGCTCACCTTTGTCCCCACACAGCCACTTAACAGGCACTTCTCAAACTCTGAGGAGCACACAAGTCCCCTGGGTGGGGGCCGGGGGGCCGAGTTACCTAAAATGCAGAATCTGAGCCGGCAGGTCTGGATTGGACCAGGAAGTCAACGTTCCTAACGTTGCCACCGCTGATTTGTGAGTCTGAGGACCATACTTGGAGTAGCAAGGTCTAACCCATCCTTACTCTGCTCACATCCCATCAGAGTCTCTGGACCCTGGGCCCCCGGGGTCTGGGAGGGGCTTACCTCGCCATTGAGGAAGCAGTACAGCACAGCCACCACGAAACCCTGGGGAGGAAGGGGACAGGGGAGGTGAGGCCCCGGCGCTGGCCTGCCCCTGGCCCCAGCCCCTGCGTTCCCCTGGTTAAGCGAAGGGCTCCTAAGTACACAGCAGGTGCCTCCTCAATCCTTATTACAACCCGAACGGCTGGAATCCAGTGGCAAGAGGCCAAGGCCCCAGGTTGAATTCCCTTAAAACCCGGAGGAGAACGCAGCCTTCAGTCAATAGTTCATACCTGGAAAGACCCCACGACCAGCTCGAAGTTCAGTTTCACTTCAAGCTTGAAGTTGTCGGGGAAGAAGGCAAACATGGTGTAGTGCACTCCGAAGAGGGGGATCAGCAGCAGCGTGGACTTGGCCAGCCTCCTGGGGACAGGGAGGGGCCGGCCGTGGGTTGGAGAGTCCACACACGTGGACACCGCTGTGCCAGGGGTGGCTGAAGCACAGAAGGCAGGGACAAGGACCAGGATGTGTGTGGATGAACTTTCGGCCCCCGTAACAGTGACGCCCCCAACCTGGCCCTGTTCCATACCTGCAGAGCGTATGCCCTCATGCCGCCCTGTCCTCCCAGCCTGGAGGGAAGCATGAGGGAGAAAGAAAGCCCTCTATTCTCATCCTTCTGGAAGAGAATCCAGAGAAGGGCCAGGGCTGAACCTTGAGGATGATGCATAACTGTGGCATTTCAGGCTCTGAGGCAGCTAGTGGGCGGGTGTTCTCAGGCAACATGAGATCCCAGCTCCCCGTCTCCTGGTCTCAGTTTCCCCATGCTCTACCTGGTCAAGTTACAGGAATGGGAGCCATGGTAAACTCTGAAGTGCTGTGGGTGCTATGAAATGCAATGAATCCAGAAGAAACCACGTCTCCACTGGGAGAGGTCAGAGGGGCGGTGGGGGGTGTCTCCGCGTTTCTCTTTCCTGCCTTGGCGGTTAGCCCCGGGCGGCCTAGCTTGGGGCCTGGGGTCCTACAGCAAACCAGGGGCAGGGAAACTGGCCTTGCCTCGCCCATTCCTTCCTCGACCTGGTTCCCAGCCAGGCCGAGATCCTGAGCACCGCCCACCCCTGCTGGCTGCACACGCCTCGCACGCACGCGCCGCAGATGACAGATGGAAGCTTTCTTTAAATTGAAGGCTTATGGGGGAGGTGGAGCGTGGGAGCTGACAGCCCCTCCTCGGGGAGCTCTGTCTCCTCCTCCCCCCAGCGCCCTGCCTACCAACAGCTGTTCAGTTTCCACCTCCCCCATGTGGACCTGGCAATGACCAGCTCTCTCTGCCTCAGATTCAAGCCCTTTTGAGTAGTTGATGCTGGGAAAAACAAGGCCCCATAGGCAAAGGAGAGGATGGCTGCGCACAGGCCTGAGGTGCTCCCTACCCCACGGCACACTGCACACCCCTGCAGGGCCCTCCCTCCTGAAGCTGGGAGAGAAGCTCTGCCTACACGCCCAGCAGGAGAGACTGCTGTCACCCTGGGAGTGCCCATCCTAGTCTCATCAGAGAGACGTCATGGGATTCCAGAATAGCATCCTAACCCCGGCAACGCCTGACATTTTAGCCAGGAACCTTAAAACCACAGCACAGACTCCCCAAAGAGAAGGCCAGGAAGAACGCTCTAGAATCCCAGGACCAGAAGGTCCTTGTGGGATGTCCAGGCTTGTCTTGTCTCTGTGGCACTGGTAATCTCTTCCCATCTGTGGGCATGCACAGTCCTATGCACCTCCCACAGCTTTTCTTGTTTCTTTTTTTCCGTCTTCAAGCCCATTGTTCTTGCAAGAACCTGCCTGTTTCTCCAGACCTCCCAAGCACAGGGAAGAGCCCTCACACTTTCTAAGCCAGCAGCACAACAGCTGTCTATGGACACCGTGCCCTGCCTCCCCCCCCGCCCCCCCGCCGCACAACATACTCCCAAACCCTTGAGTGGAGGGAGCGCGTATCAGTTTCCTCCCCTGTAAACTGGGGACAATTTGTAGGGAACTGTGGGGATGAAAGGAGATGACGATTGGAAACCCCTGGCACGTGCCTGGCACGTGAACTGCAGATGCCGTTATTATGCCTGGGGACGACTGAGTCCTGTATACGGCTGTCTTGTTGATAGACCGGGGGCTTCCCCTGGACATTCACTTGCATTTATTGCCCCTCTTCCTGTGCCAGGCACATGCCAGGGACTGAGCACCCAGTGTGAACAAGACACAGATCATCTACTGTCTTCTCGAGCTCCTTCCCTGGGCTGCAGATTCGTACCTGGATCAGATCACGTGCTAGGTAAGGTGATGGCAGGAGAAGCAGACGCGGGGCTCATGCGGGGCTGCTGGAAGGGACACTCGTGGACTGAGCCGGGCCATGGGGCAGAGGTGGGCAAGAACAGGGTGGTTTTTTGGTGACTCTGGAGGAGGACTTCAAGGGGACGTGGGATGATTTGAGGACCAGGGACCAGGGTACTGGGAGAGCCAGGGCACTGAGGTCACACTCACGAGTATGGGCTTTTTTCATTCTTCCTCACGTCTGGGGGCTGCAGTTTCTGAACCAGGATTCGGACAATGAGAATAAACATGATGAAGTTCACCTGGTGGTGGCAGCGGGGTAAGGTTGAGTGTCCAGGGTGTCCAGCCCCCTGAGCTGATGGCCTGGCTTGTCCCCTAGGGCCCTGCCGCCCCTCTGTGTTAGCTGTCCTCTAGTTTTTCCCCTTTGGGCCAGGCATCTGGGAACCCTACTCCCCATCCCTGAGGCCAGGCCTCCCAATCCATCTTCCCTACTCGAGAGGAAGAATGAGGGGTGGGGTTGGGGGGAGAATGGGGACACTCCTGCATTGGAAAGTCTAGGTTTCCATTCTGACCTAGGCATGAATTTCCTGCGCAACCTGAAGCAAGCTGACTACCCAATCTGAGCCTCAGTCTCCCCACCTCTAAGTGGTGGGAGGAGGCCTTACCAAGATGGATGTGAGGATGGGGACCTTTAGGATCCACCACAATGATGAGGCTCTGATGGTGTCCCAGCATCTGGGCAGGGGATGGGAGGGGAGAATGAGAGAGGTTGTCCTCAGCCACAGACACGGTCAGCAGCTCTCCCAGTTGTCCCCAGCTCTGCCCCCAATCCCTTTAGAGGCTGTGGGTCCAGACTCTGTTGCTCCCGAGTCCCTCTTATCCCATCCAGGGGATCTGACGCAAGGGATGGCAGCTGGGAGGAGAGGGCAGGGGGATGGCTCACCCCAAATCCTCAAAATGGATCTTGCTGATGGTCCACACCATGGTAAATGTGCTGGGCACCCCTGTCAGGGCCAAAGGAGAGAGAAAAAGAGGAGAGAAAAAAAGGAGAGGGCAGGGGAAGCAGGGAGGGAGGGCATGAGGGAGAGATTAAGGAGGAAGAAGCAGAGAGGGAGGGAGAGAGAACAGGGCGGGTTACGGGGCAACCCCGTAGGGTGGCCTAGGTTGTTCACAGTGCCCCACAGAGGGGCTGAAACTATATGCCCAAGGGGCTGTGCCCACCTAAGGGGAGAGTCTTTTTCTCATTTCGGCAGAGGCACTTTATAGACCAGCAGTGGTCCTGTGTGTTTCAAGGGCTGAAGGGGAAGGGGAAGGTAGCCATTGAATCTGTGTGTCCCATGGTTCAGCCCTGAGGGCGCCTGCCCTGTGTCACACATTTGGGGGACTTTTATCAACCCTTGGCTAGAGCATTGCAGGCCCAACCTAGTGCCCAGCAAGACCCAAGACTGCAGCCTGGGCTGGCATCCACCCCCTCGGGAGTTCCCCCAGCCTTGCTCCCTCTGTCCCCAGCCTGGCAGCCCTCCCCAGCACCATACCCCAGCCGATGAGTATGTACCCCCAGAAGTACTTCCGCTCGGAGAAGAAGGAGACCGTGAGCAGGGTGTACAGGTAGAGGCCCTCCACCAGCAGCCAGAAGAAGTTGGCCATGACACAGTACTGGAATAAGACCACGACTGCCTTACAGCCCACCTGCAGGGGAGGGGACCAAGAGGAGGCTTGCCGGGGCTGGCAGGGGTCCTTGCCAGTTGCTGTAGAGTCAACTTAATCTTGTTATTTTTTTTTTCATTGTCCCTGCAAAAATGTACTCAGTGTTTTCCCACTTATCCCTGATTTGAGATCATCTGATGCTTTGGAATAAGCTTGTGGTTTTCACTATTCAACTATCAATTTACCATCTTCTTATTTATATGTTTATCCACCCACCTGACCATCCAACCATTCATCTTCCTACCTATTTATCTATTTATTCACCCGCTCACCCACTAGACATCCACTACCAACTTGCCCATCTACCTATCCATCTACCATGCATCATCTTCTCATCTTCCCACCCATCAATCCATCCACACACTCACCTGCCTACCTCTCCATTCATCTCCCTGTCCACCTACTAGACATCTAGTACCAACCCACACGTGTAACAATCTATCTATCCATTCTTCCACCTATCTGTCCACCAATCTGTTCATCCATCCATCCGCCTACCTACCCACCCACCCCTCTACCCATTATCTATCCAATTTTTCCTACGTTATCCATCTATCCTTCCACCTACTTAGCCATCCGTGTACCTACCTATTTACTCAGCCATCCATCTGTCTACCCATCCACTGAAACACTCCCACCTCCCCACTCACCTTGCATTTGCAAGTGTCCCTTGAATGTGTGCGGATGAGGGTAGTGGGTTGTGGAGTGGGTCCAGTGGGGAGGGAAGGGGAAATGAAGGAAGAAGGGACAACAGAGAGATGGCCATTCCTCCTGGGGGCCAGAGGAGCTAGTGAAAGAAAGTTCCCCAGGTAGGTGAGGACATTGGAGGAGCTATGGGCGACCTCTGAGTAGGGTGATCAGGGGCTGTGGGTGGGTGAGAAACTCTTCTGCGCACTCTTAGAAATTTTCCCATTTCAGATCAAGCCCAGACACCTGCGAGCCACAGTGTAAAGCTACCTCCTCTAGAAAGCCCTCTAGCACGCCCAGAACATGGGTTCCCACCCTTCCTTCCTGCGCCCTTGGCTTTGAGACATCCTCAAAGAGCAGCCTACTTCCCTCCCGCTCTGACTGGAAAGTCCTTCTTCTGGCCACATGCCAGTCCTTCCTGACACAGGCATGCCTGTTTTCCCCAGCCTCCACACTTGCTTTACAACAAGAACTGCTCGCTCACAGGACAATTCCGCGCACTCCTCCCAGCCTTCGAAAAGCTTCCCAGAGCTGCTGCTAACGGGGCGCGTGGGAAGCCGGTCTCCGCAGTTACCCGTAACAAGCATGCTGGAGGCTGCGCGCGGCTCCCAGGGCTCTGCGCTCACCCTGCGTGTTTCTGGATCCTCTGAGGAGCTCTGGGCATGGCTAGCATGGTTCCCCTGGGCTTTCCCTTCCTCTTGTTGAGATGCCTGAGACTCCATCATCACAAGTTAACTCTCTGGGGAGAAGGTACGGCTGACCCCGGAAACCAGGCGCCACCCCTGCTGTCACTCCTGAAGTTCAGGGGAATGGGTGGAGGGGACCGGCTCGAGCTCCGTCCTAGTTCAAGGACACTCAGGGAGGGGGTCCTGAGCTCAGAGTCAGCTGGAGACGGACCTTTCAGTGACGGCATGAATTCTTAGACGCTCTCTGAATTTCCGTCTCAAGGACGCCCCTGCACTTACTGACGCAGGGGAGGGGAGAAGGAGAGAGGAGAGGAGAGGAGGGCTGTGTGTATGGACCGGCTCCATGAGGCAAGGGGGTGGAGGGAGCGCGGCATGGGGCACAGAGCCCTGGGTGTGCAGGTGGCAGAGGGTAGAGTTGGAAGCAAGCTCGGAAGTCCTTGCACAGATGGGGAAACTGAGGCAGGGAGTTTCCTAAGGTCACTCGGGGACCTCGCAAGCAAGGTGGGATGGGGCTGTGGGCTCTGACCATGAAGTGTCCTGTTTCGTACCAATGAGAGATGTGTCTCATTGGCAGGGGCAGGTCGGTGAACCCCCCGGTGGCTGAGCACCTCCCCCTGTCGTGGGAAGAGGAGTGGGATTCAGGGGCTGCCAGGTGGGGTCGAGTGGGAGGCTGGCCATCTTTGGAGAGAGAAAGGGGGAGAGGGGGGAGAGAGAGAGAGGAGGCGGAGGGAGAGGGAGAGAAGGAGGAAGAGGGAGAGAGGAAGGAGGAGGAGGAAGAGAAAAATCCTCCTCAGTGAGAGGAGATGGACAGTGCGGGAAGTGGGGTGGGGCTGGTAGGTCCTCACCGAGGCCACAACGCAGTTTTCCCATTCGTAGCTGTCGAAGACGATCAGGTCCTTGATGAGGACGGAGACAGCCCTCAGGATGAAGGACATGAAGAGGTGCATGTGGATGTAGTTCCGGGTGCAGTGGAGCTTCCTGGGTGGGGTGGGCAGAGCTGGGAGGCTGGAGGGGCCTCAGACCGCTCCCCCGCCAACCAACACTGTCCTGTACTCTCAGCAAGTGTAGGGCAGAGGGGGCACGTGGCCCTGAGAGCTGGCCCTGCCCCAAAGGAGGGCCCTGTCTCCATCCCATCTCCAACCACTGTGTGCAGCTGGGCCTCCAAGGGCCTCAGACTCCAGGTGTCTCAGTCCAGGGCACAGGCCCCACCTTCTGGGACCCTGGGCCCGGGTGCAAGGCCATCCTGTGGGGACCAGGCTAGGACAGGCAGAACCCTGAGCGCAGCCTAGTCCCCAGGGGAGGCTCGGCGGGCGGGGGCGCTGGGACAGGGCCATGTGCTGCCTGGAGGTGACAGAGGGGGTACCCAGCGCGCCTGGGCCAGGCTGGGCTCGAGCACAGAGCGGCTTGGCTGGGTGTGCTTCAGGCCTTGCTGCTGGGGCTGGGTCTCACCTGAACAGGCTCAAGATGGCCATGGCAACTAGCAGGGTGGCAAGGGACAGGCTGTAGCCGATGGTGTAGCCAGTCTTCACGGAATCGTAGAACACTATCTCCTGCGCCTGTAAGAGGGAGGGAGGTGAGGGTCTGGGGTTGGGGAACTCACCTAGGGCAGCCGGCAGAGGCGAGGTGTCCCACGCACCCTGCCTCGGCAGAGGAGGAGGCTGAAGCCCAGGGCTCCCAAGGGCAGCCGAGCTGCTCCCTTGAGGACCCAGACCCCCTGACCCCGCCGTTTCCACAGATGGGACAGGACTGCCTCCCAGGGAAGGGGCTGAATTCAATCCCTGTCTGTTCCTTCATGGGAAACGTCACTGAGACAAAGAGCAAACACCTCAGACTCAGGGCGCCTGTCCACACACGCTTCAGCCATGCGTCTGGCACCCCCTGTGCCCACGCTGGGCTTGGCAGCCTAGGGAGTGCAGGCTGCTTGACCTCCAGACCCCCACATGGGGACACACAGGGGTGGAGGAGGTAAAGAAGACACTGTGGGGGCAGTGTCACATTGGGGGTCTCCGGGGCTGGGTCAGCAGGATGCGGGCAGTCGGCCTTTCAGAGGAGGAGGGACAAGCTGGATCCCAAAGGCTCCTTGAAGGCCCTCCCCTGATGCCCTCTCCAGGGTCACATGTGCAGAGCCAAGGTCACTGGGCCACTGTCTCCCCGGCCCCCCAGTAGAAGCAAGTAGTTAAGAGGGATTTAGGAGACTTGGATCCTGCCAAGGACTTCGGGGGGACAGTGAGGGCCCCCGAGGAAAATCTGCCCTCTCAGGAGGAGTGAAAGTCCTGTCTGAGAAGGGTCTCTGGGGGTGGGACCGATGTCATCACAGACACACACACCGAAGCAGCGCAGGCTCCTGGCTGAGGACTCCAATCACGCTCTATCTGTCCATCAGCACCTTGCCTGGCTCCGGGCCCCGCCTCCGGAGGGCGACCACCGAAGCTTCACCTGCTCTGGGGCAGATCCCTGTCCTGAGACTGATGATGTTGTCCCTGTCCCCAACTGACTCTTGGGTATACAAGACTGGTTGTTTCCAGGATCGGCCCCTCAGTGTCCCCTCCGCACGTGACAGGGAGGGCGGTGTCTGCCTGCCTGTCTTGTCGCGTCCAGGGCTGGAGCAAGATTCCCACCAGGCAATGGGGCAGCCTGGCCGGGGGATGAAGCTTCAGCTTTTGCTGCTATGAGTCATCCTCATGAAAGGACTCTCATGCCAGGGGGAGGCAGGGGGTGAGCCCCCGGAAATACAGGCCTGGAGGGGGCGAAGGCATGGGGAGGGCAGACCCCAGAAATCCTGGCTTCCACACTGATGGTGACCGCCCCTCCCCCCGACCCTTGGTGGGAGCGTGGAAGGAGCCCTGCAGGCCAAGGCGCTCCGGTGGGGGCTGGGGTGCACTGAGGCCCACCTCTTCCAAATCCGTTTCCTTGTGATCCAAGCCACAGGCAATGGGGTAGGGGCCAGGCTCCATTTCTGCCCAGCCCTCGTCCGTGCAGCTGCGGCTCACGTTGAGGCCTAGGCGGAGGGCAGGGGTGGAGAGGAGAGAGGCTGAGGTCAAGAGCAGGGTGGGTCCACAGAGCTCGTCGAGACAGCCAGGCCTCTGCCCCCGGCCTGACTCCCACTAACCTCCGCTGTGTCAGACCGACTCCAGCTGCCCCGTCCTAGACCCCCCGTGCATCACAGGGGAACCAGGGGCAGGGAGAAGCCCCTCCAGGACTTCCTGGGGACTCCCCAACACAGAAGACAGTCACAGCAGGCATCTCTGTGCTCAGCCCTGCCGCTTGTCATGTCTGAACCTGACCCCACATGCAATGTAAACTCTGATCCTTGTGACAGATAGCCAGGATCCTTGGCTATCTGAATGACCCCTGACTCTTGCCGTGAGCTACATGCTGACCCTTGCCACAGGGCCACAGGGGCGGGCTGGTGTGGCAGATGGTTTCATTGTCCTGTGGGCCCAGACAGCAGCCCTCTGGCTGGGGTCGGGGGGCCCATGCCTGGCCACTCCTCTGGGGTCAGCCTGCCTGGACCTACGGGCCTGGGTTTCCTGCCACACCTGATGGGACTCAGATGTGTTTCTGGGGAGGGACAAAGGTGAGGCAGGAGGTAGGTGGGGGTAGGAGGACACCTGATAATGCAGCGTATCTATAATCCTCATAAACACAGAAGCAGGGAGCTCCTGGCAGGGAAACCTTGAGTTAACATCAACTGTTGTGTTTTCTCTACCAAAATAGCTATCCTAAAAAAGGCCTCTTCAAATATTTGAAGGTAAAACCGCCACAAATTAAAGGCATGCAGACCACACATTAAAGGACTAGACCCCCAGGACCATTTTGGGGACTTAACGAGCAGTCTCTTGCTAGGGCCACCCCTACGCCCAGCTGTTTTTACCCAGCCCGGGTACATGACTCCTGCCTAACCCTCCACGATCTTTACCTTCTACAAGGTTCCCTCAGGTCCCTTCCAACCCTTCCGGAGAGGACGCGTCTTCCCCATTCCTCGTGCCTCTGAGCTGGGGTTGGCCTCAGCCCCCCCTGCACGTCCCTCACTCACCAACTCCCCTCTTTGGAATTTAAGATCAGATGCTCACACCTTCTTTCTCTAGTTGCCCAGGAAAATATACCCTATTTCCTCTGCATTTTCAGCCCCTACCCCTGTCTCCTGTTCCTCTCCATCATTTTGAGACTGGCCACCAGCTGTAGCTGTGCAGGTTGTTCACTGGCTGATGGAGGACAGGGGGCTTGTTTATGTTCAGCTCGTCACTAGGTGGGTTCTGGAACGAGGCTTACTCAGCTCGAGGAAGGGCTGCCTTTTCCTCCTCTGCACAAAGACTCCGTGTGGGCCCCCCAGAGGCTGGTGGCTTTGGGAATAGTCAGAGGGTGGGCTGCAGTCCAGGTTCTCAAGTGAAGGAGCTGCCTTGGTGATTTCAGTGGGGCCAGAAGGAAGAGACGTCAGGAGGAATGCAATTAGCGGAGTGGCAGGAAGAACGTAATTAGCAGGCACTTCCCGGGATCCAAGAGAAGGCTGGTTGCCAGGCTCGGCTCATGAGAGCGCTGTGAGAGGGCCCTAGTAACTCATCTCCTACCTGCCCACGTGCTGGGCTCCCCTGGAGGAGCGCTGGGCTGTGGGGGGGGGGGCGCCAGCCTGGAATAGGTCACGCCTGGGACTGCTCCCAGATGCCTCAGCGAGGGTGTTGGGCGGGGTCTGTCCTTCACTGCTGAGGTCACAACACTGGGGGGCAAAACTGGCCTGTCCCCCAAAAAAGACATTGGGTCTACCTCCTATAACTGCTTTACAAACAGGGAAACTGAGGCCCAGAGAGGAAAAGGCCATCCGGAGTGAGAGATGCCCAGGAGCCTTTCTGCCCTCCTTCTGAGCCCTTATCTAGGTCTGGCTCCTCCCTAAGTCCTCCCTACCCCAGCCCTCTGTGCCCCCAGTCCACGGATGCTGATTCTCTCTCTCCATGCTGCCCCCCAGCAGCATCTGTGGGTGGTGGCTCTTCCCCCGCCTCCGGGTCTTTACTTCCTGTCCGTGAACACCTGCCTTACCTTGTACCCCCCAACTCCCTCCCAGCACTGCTTACCATTTAGAACACGTGTATCTGTTTTCTTGATAAATGTCTTTCCAACTAGAATGTTAGCTCCCGGAGGGCAGGCAGTGGGGCTGTTTTATGCCCCCCACCATCCCTTGCTTGTCTAGCCCAGCGTCTGCCATGTATGTGGCAGTCTGTGAATGGAAGGAGGTCTGACCCATGCCTCTGATTGGTTATTCAGTAGCAAGAATGCCCACTTCTGCAAGAGGCTCCCCCGTTTCTTTTCTGCCTATATATGAACACTCATTTCAGTAGAACGTGACAAGGCGTATAAGCAAGGCCACGCGGTGGATTCATAGAGCCGGAGAAGTCATCAGCTCCAGGCAGCAAAAGACTGAGTCGTGAGCAGGCCAAGGCAACGGGAACACGGGAACCATAATTTAATCAAATACCTGTCAATCGATAAGTTATTAATTGCCAAGCAAATATTTAGTGAGCTCCTCCCACATGGTTATCTTTTAGGTAAAGAGTTAATCAAATCCCATGAGTCCTTCAAAGGCCTGGCGCCAGAGCATCCTCTTCCAGGAAGTCCCCCTGTTTGCTTTGGTCCCTTCGACACTTTCTCTTTCCTTCTTATTTCTGTGAGAGGTGAGTCCCCACTCTAGTTGGTGCCACTTGTGCCACCCAGTTCCCTCGCTTCAGCCCAGAGGTCTTACCTTTAAGAGGGGAGAAGAAATTATAGATGGGGGGGCAGGCCATGACGACCACCTGGCCCCGAGGGGTGGCCGGCCAGCAGGTGATGTTGTCCCACATCTTGCTGCAGCCTGGGGGGTAAAGGCAGGGGATGCATGGGTCAGCATGGCCACCAGGTGCCTCCAGCCTCTCTTCCTCCTCCTCCAGGCTCCCACCTCGAGGAGCCTGTGGTACAGAAGGGAGGCACAGCCCTGTCCAGGCTGCCCTGGGCCTGTCCTGACAAGGAGTGGGGAGAAGGAGGCATGACTACACTCCATGCTTTTCAGTGAGGGCCAGAGAGCCCCCTGGGGTTGTTTAGAACAGTAGTGGGGGATTCCTTGGTTGCAGGTTGCCCCCCCGCCCGCCACCGCCCCGCATTTCATGGGCAGGAACCAGGTCCGGCAGGGCCCAGCACAGTGATGAAGGCAGAGCTTCCGCAAGACTTTCAAAAGAGCACCTGGGCATCTGTATAGGTGAAATCCTTTCGTAATGACCACAGCCTGGGCTCTTACTCCATTTCACACACAAACACAAAGTACTTAAGGCACATTTAACACACACCATTTTCCCAGCATTCAACTACTGAGTAGAGGGAGGGAAGACTGGGCGTTGGCACATTGTCGAATGCTTTGAAAAATCACGTTGCCTGCAGCATGCTTCCTGTGATAATCTGAGCCAGTGACGCAACCACTGAACACACCAGCCTACAGCTATGGTCCTCCCATCTCCTGAACTTATACCTATAGGCACAACCTTCAGACTGTGTCTTCTTATCTTTTAGTGTGATCAGGCCTGCATATGTAGATAGTATTTTATTATACATTATTTTCCTTTTTATTTTTCTTAGAACATCACTTTTTTTTTTTTTAAATGCACATTTTAAAAAAAATGTGTCCTGGATTTCATTTTGTAATAGTAAAGGAGGCATTAGAAAATATATTTTATAAAAAGGAAGTGTTGTTTACGATTGGGTGCTGGATATATTGGGGTTCAACTCGTTCTTGAGGAATCTAAATACAGCTCGCAAAGCAGCACGATGCCTTCAGCTGGGCTGAATTGTGAATTGTGATTAGGGAGGCGGGTGGTCAGGGGTTGAGTTTAGAGAAGATCCTGCCTCACAGGCTGTGTTTTCCAGCAGTACCCACTAGCTCGAGGACCTAGCTGGCGAGGGGTGCACAGTGTGGTCTCTAGGAGTCTGCTTTCACAGGCAGATGCAAATGCCATGGTTTTGCTCATCCCGGGTCTGGGTGCCTCTCGGGGACTACGACTCCTCTGGATCCCCTCCCCTGAGGGCAGTTTAATTGTCTCCTTGCAACTCTGCCCGTCCCATAGACTTGCTCAGGAAACCCAACCCCTGAGCCAAAGTCAACGCAAGCTGGGCCAAGCCCAGCCCAGCCCAAGTCCGAAGGTTCACGAGTTCCCAAGCAGGGGGCCTGGGAAGAAAAGGTGGAAGGATGTCCGCACTTGAGGAAGAGCCTCGGGACTCTGAGTGCTTGAGGGGGCTGACAGTGGGGTGGGGCACCTTCCAAGCCCGCAGCAGCCAAGTGGTACCTGTCATTGAGGGCAGAGGACACTTGGATCCCCAGGGCTGGTCAGAAAGCACAGCATGCCTCCCTTGGGGATCCCAGAAATTCTGCCCCACCCTGTCCTCAGGCTCCCGTGGCCTCACTGGCTCTCAGTCCCTCCCTCATTCCTGCACCAGCCTCTCTGGAGGCCACGTAGGGGACATTCTGGCCAGTCAATCCTGCTAGCTGTTCAAGCCCATTAATAATATCAGCTGACACTTCTGTAGCCTTTGTAAGTGGAAGACACTGTTCTGCCCTCTGTCAATAAACTGATTTAACCCTCCCAATTTACAGATAAGTCACTGAGGCAGAGAGCAATTGGGTAAGTAGCCCAGGGGCGTGCAGTGTTGCCTATTCATGTGCTTCCTCTCCAGCAAACCTCTTGCCTTCCTGTTCTGAACGGCTTGATGCCGATTTGGGAATTTTGATCTGACAGCACCGAGCACACCCTGGTTTGCAGGCTGGCTGCTGTGTCTGGGTCCTCGCCAGACTTTGTCTCTCTGGGACTCCAGGTGCAGCACAGGCCGGGGAACAGATCTGGAGCTGGGTCCCTGGCCCCGAGCTCGGTTTCACCAGAGGCAGCACAGAGGACAGGGAGACCGAGCCAGTGTCCTTGGGGAGGTGATGCTTGACCTCAAGGGGCACAGGCCAGTGGGCAGGGCAGGGGACCCAGGGAAGAGAGGCCAGTGGGGGAACGTGGCCCAGGAGGCAGCAGGGCCCGCAAGCAAAGGGTGGCACACACAACTCATGGACACGAGTGCTGGGCATCTGGAGGGTCTGTGGTCCTGGGCTGGGCCCTGGGAGTATTTTCTGTGTATCCACCCCAGGGAGAGTCCTCAGGGCCTGCCATGCGGTGTGTATCCACTGAGGGTCACCACCTCAACAGGAAAGAAAGCCCAACCAGGAGCCTGGGGTGGCGGATGGTGAGGTAGAGTGGGGACCTGTGCTGGGTCATTTATAGGCTTGTGTGTTCAGAGAGAGACACACACTGACAGACAGGCACTCCCAGAACCATAGACGCACATGCAAACATACATACATATATGCTTCCTTGGACCCAAAAAGACCAGGCACAAGTAAACACAGGCACAGAGAGACACACAACTCGTAGGCACACATGCGTGGACATGATGGCATCTCATAGACACTCACAGTGACACCTCCCCAAAAAACACAGAGACATAGCCCACCAGGCAGACACATCCAGGCACGTCTGGGCCACAAAGTCACTCAGAGGCAGACATGGCGCTATAGGCCCCAGAGGCACGGCCACAGAACCGGACAGACATGGGTCAGGAGCACACACCTGAATATGCCAGGACATGCACAGAGCCCCGCAAGGTCGTGGCCAGACCCACTGCCCACTGACTCACATCTGCCCTCCTCTGGATCCCAAGCTGGCTGCCTGGTAACAGGGTGTTTGTTGGCTCCTGACGGGTACCCTGCGCCAGCAATGACCTCATCGGGATCACGAGGGTGGCCTGCCCTCGGGTCCTGGGAGGAACGCGGGGGTCTGGCGTCAGGGCCTCCCTGAACTGTCCATGACCTTGAATCCCACCATTGGGGCCTGCTGAGGCCGGCGTGCAGCCTGGCCCTGCCTCCCCATGTTGGCAGGTGCATAGGCAGTGGGCAGTCCGGCTCCCCTCCCTCTCAGGGGCCGGGGAGGCCACCTTCCGTGAGAGCTGGGGGAGGCAAAGGCCGTCACGAGGCTACATACTCTCCTGGGCTGCAGGAGGCGGAGATCCTGGGCTCCAGGGCCAAGAAGGAAAGACCAGGGAGGGTTACATATACTGTCAGCCTCAGAGGTGGCAGGGGACGGGGAGCCCGGAAGACGCTAAAGATGTTCTGTGTTCCTGAGCAAGACGGGTATGGAGCTTTAAGCTGGGCCTCAGGGAGGTGACCACAGCCTACAGCCCTCCTCCTCCCTCTCAGTGAGCCTGGGACCCCACACCCACTCCCGAGCCCCCACCCCTGCTACCCTCCCACACTGCCCGCCTCTCTGCTTCTCCCAGTCCTGCCCAACCTCTGCGTCAGGCTCAGTTGGCACCTTTTGAAGGGAGCCCTTTGTATTTCCTCATTCCCACCCCAGGGCTGCTGAGCCAAGTGTGGGCCACTCAGGTGGGGGAGTGAAGAGTAGAGGGTGCTGTCATCTGGTCTGATGGCCCTGTGGGGTCTGGGCAGCTGGGCAGCATCGGCCAGCAGGGGCCCCTGGCTCCGCTGTTCACTCTGCCAGGCTGGAGTCCCGCCAGACCCCTGCGGAGGAGAAGCTGGACCCCCATGTGCTCAGCCTCTGAGCCTGACCTTGACTTGTCTAATCAGCAGGGTAACAAGCGGATGGTTCATCTGGCCTGAGGAGGGTGGGTGGGGGTGGGGAGGTCACTGTGCATGTCTAGGGCCCTGTGTGTGTGTGGTGTTGCCTCTGGGTGTTGTGCTAACGGGCAAGGCCTGGGGCTGGGAGGAAGGACCTCGGTTTCCACCCCGACCCCGTGGTGGATAATCAAGACCTGTGCACACTGGCCTGGTCCCCGTTCCTGCTCGAGATTGCCAAGATGGCTTTGAGCTTCCGTGTGGTCCCTGTGGCGGTCATGTACTGCCACCGAATGTCCTCCACTCTCCCTCTGAGATGCTAATAGTACATGGTTTAGTCCTAGAGTGTGGTGCCCTGGGGCTAGTTCTCCATCTCAACTCCAACTAAGTCAGAGGCTGAGGAACCTGACCCGGAAGTGCTCCCATCAGCGAGCTACTCCAACCCTTCGCTGGGCTGAGCCAGGGGTCCTCGCTGGCACTGGCCCCCACCAGGCTGTGCCTTGGGCCCTCCCATCCTGGGTGGCCTGGCGGCCATGGGCATCATCCCCGCTTTTCCTGGAGAAAAAGGGTAGGGACCCCCAAAGGCACAGTTGGCTGCACTCACTTTTCTGAACCCCAGTGTGTATGCTCTCTGCAGGTAATAGCTGGGAGCTCCCCAGACCTGGGATGGGTGCTGGGAACATGGCGGCTTGTTGGTGCCTTCCTTCTGTTTGGCTCTCCAACTTCTCCCAGCCCCCTCTCCTCGCCACCCAGCAGCTCCCCAGCTCCCCCGTGCTCCCCTCTCCAAAGAATGTGCAGTGGATGTGACATGGACCCGGGCTCGTGGGTCAGGAGAAGCGGGGCTCTGTGGGGGCCTGCGGCGGGGGGAGGGCGCTCACCTGCTGTGTCATTCTCCACCTGGATCTCCTCCAGGCACTGCTCCTGCTCGGCCTCGATCATCAGCTTGTAGTCACACAACTCCCAGTTCAGCCTGGTCGCCCAGACGCTCTGGGGGACAGAGACAGGGAGGGGCACCGTCAGCCTCGTCCGTGGCCCACATCTCATGCACCGACTCCAGGAGCGTGGGTCAAACAAGGCCTGACCCTGACCTGGATCTGACCCGAACTGTGTTTGCTATCCCCACAGCTTGGTCTGCCTTGGGGACCCTGTCATGGCTTCTTGGTGGTTCCCTCAACAGTGTGGTGGCTTTAATAACTGTCTCTTTGTGGGTAGCATGACCTGGACAGAGGTGGGAGGGCCTCTCCTCGGAGCCCAGAGCTGGGCCACAGGGTTCTGCCGCTGTCCAGCTTGGCGGGAGGGCCGGGAGTCTTCTGTCCCTGCCTCAGTCCCTGTGGCCGAGAGGGGCCCAGCGGGTGCTACCTCGTTACAGGAGTTGGAGCCAGACCTGGGAGGAATCCAGGAGTCTGGCTGCCTCTTCCAGCCTCTGTCCCCATTCTAGGAGCCTCAGTCCCCTGGGTCACCAGATAGGAAGGCCACACTAGCCCTCTTTGCCCAGACCTCAACTGCCTCCTTCTTAGCTTTTGAATAATTCAAGTTAAATCAGACCTAAGGAGAGAGGAGGTTTAGGGAAGTAAGAGAAGGCCTTGCCATCCTACCAGGCCTCCTCTGCCTCTGGGAGGTGGGGAAAAGGGATGAGGAAGCTCAAGCTCCTCCCCGCCCCTTCCCTGCATCCTCGCTGGGACCGGCCCTGCGTGCCACAGGGACACTGGCACTGCAGCCAACATGCGGCTAGGGGTGATGGGTGCCCAGCCACAGCCAGGTGTTGGGGGCCGTTGGGCGGCGAATGGAGGGCGAAGTCCTCTGCGGAGGAACCGCTGGGCTGGAGCAGCTTTTGCCTGTCTCTTTGGCTTTAGGGATGTGGCTGCTGCCCCCGGCCACCTCGTATCAGTTTCCTCATCTCTGCTTCCGGAGGAGAATGTCCCAGTCCCACACAGGGGCGGGGGGAGAGACCAGCCAAGACTGCTCCAGAATCAGAGATTCTCAGTGTCTCTTCCCACTTGCCTTCCTGCCCTGGGACAAGGTCTTCACCTCCCTGGGCCTCCGTTTCCTTGCCTGCTAACTGGGCCTTAACCACCTCCCCTGCTGACTCCAATGGTTCTCGTAGTGGGGCTGTGGGGAGACATAGATTGGAGGGGTTTCTCCTTATTTCCTTCTTTTAAGGGAGTCCGGTCTAGCCTGTAGGCGCCAAGAGCGAGACTTTACCACTGCTCTAAGCGAGTCGACCCCCCGAGGGACAAGCGCCCCATGTGCCAGTGAGCTCGCTCTCCGCTGCTGTCATGGGATGGGGGGTCCTAGCTGCAGCCGGGCAACTCAGTGACCACGGGCCACACTGCCGAGTCCCTTCCACCTCAACAGCTCTCTCATCCCTCATTGAAGGTTTTGGTGGCGCCTCACTGTCACGGAGGTCCCCAACTTTCCCAGCTTAGCGCCACAGCTGACCGAGCCCAGGTCTAAGGGAAGGCCTCCTCGTCCGCGATGTCTTTCAGACGCCCCAGCATCCAGGCCTCCCTCACCTGCGCGCCACAGGCCGGGAAGCCTCACAGTGACCCTGGCTTCCATCTCAGGCCATTAACTTTATCAGCCAATTGGGGTAAAGACATTAGCTGGTATGTCATTTAAATCTTGGCATATTGAAAGTAACATGCATCTGTTAACATGCAGAAAGGATGTAGTTATTTGTATAACTGTTTAAACGAAAGGATATGAGACTTCAAGGAAATGCGCTGTGGTCCCTCCTTGCGCTCACGTGCTTCCTCTCTTGTCTGAAGGGCTGTCCAGACTGAAACACTCCAGGTGCCCTGTCTTAAGGGACCCGTGGCTCGCTCAGGGACGGGAAGAGGAGTGGCTATCAGAGGAACCTGGGGACAGGCCACTCCAGGTTGTGTCCCACCATCTTGCTTGCTCGGGCCATGCTTCTCCTCAAAGTCCCTTCTCAGGCCCTTTGTCCTCCAACAACCGGGTTCATTCTGCCTTCTGGCCCCTTCCCAGCCTGTCCTGCCTCTCCTGCCCGTTCCCCTGGCAGTGGACATCTCTTGCTGCTGCCTTCTACCATCCTCTGCCCTCCTCTGGTGCCATGTCCTCATCTCTGTCTGGGAAACCACCTTCTTCCCCACTCGTGCTCATGGATCAACATGTGACCAGACTTGAGCCTGTCAGAGTATCCCTGCCCCTGGTGTCTGGCACATGGCCCAAGTCACGCTCATCAGAATGAGGAGACTCGTTCCTGGGACTCTGGATTAAACAATTAGGTGAGTGGATTTGTTCTTTCCCATTGGACTGGACACCTCAAGGGATGCAGACTCTAGAGCTCCTGCCACCATCTGTCACCAAGTGGAACACAATGACAAAGGCCACACAGCTAATGGCAGAAGAGAGGGAGAAAAATTGGGTCCTCTTGACACGGTCTGAGCCCCTGAAGCCAGCCATGCTTCCCGCAACGTGAACCAATGTCTTTCTTTACAGCTCCAGCCGGCTGAGTTTTCTGTCCCTGTAACCAAAAGAGTCCAGACGCGTGCTCCGAGGACCTCCCTTGCGGAGCCCTCCTAAGCCAGGGCTGTGGTCACGCTGTGTGACCAACATTTCTCTTCCAGTCACTGAGGGTGTCAGAGGGTTCCTGGAAACCTCTGCCTGCCGGCATAGGATGGGAGGGGGTCGGCTCAACTTCTCTAGCCAGTTCTGTTCCCCCGACCCCAGCAGCACCATCACAGAGCCCTTCCTGAGGGGCAGCTTGTAGAGGGAGGGAGGAGCCCCCAGAGTAACCCGGGATTCTGAGGCGTCTCTGAATAAAGTGGGGGTGGTCTGGAAGATGAACCCTGACTTGACCACAGTGTAGCTGAGTGCTGGGGAGAAGAAACAGAGACCCAAAGAAGGCTGAGGTACCCAACAAAGTCACAATCCCAGAAGGGACCGAAATCTCTGACCACTAATCTGAACATCAATCCTTCTGCAGCGCCTCGTCTTGGGGCATCTGGTCCACCACTGCTCTTTGGGGTTCGGGGCCGGGGCAGCTCCTGAGCCCTTATCACTGAGGAATTCAGACAGACTTTGGACTTCCTCTTCCACTTATATCCTTATTCTAAACATCCTCATTATTCCTCTGGACTCCAGACACACAAAGTTGGAAAATTCCCAGCCGGATACGAGCAAGCCTGCTGATCCATGGAAGGGTTCCAGGGTAGGATATAGCCGGGGTGTGGACTTCACAGAGAATGGGCAGTGGAGAGGGGAGGGCCTCTGAGGATGGGTAGGAGTTGGACAATTAGAGGTGGGTTAAAAACATTCCAGAAAGTAGGAGCTGTGTGTATAGCAGCGGGGAGGCATGAGAATGCTTAATACACTCGAGATTGCAAGGAGCCTGGTGTGGCCACAGCAAGGGGCCCCAGAGGCCTCAGAAGGCAAGTTGGGGGATACGCATGAGGGCCAGGCCTCATCGGTTCCTGCCCGAATAGGAGCAGTCGTTTGCAGCCCCAATACCTACAAGCCGAGGGGTCTTTACATAATGTGCATCCCCATCCTCAGTCTCTTGCCTCAACTCTCTCATGGTTCCCGTGGTCGGGGAGTCAAAGCCTACGTTTCAAAACTGCCACTCAAGGCCCTTCCTAATCTTGCCAATGCCTGTATCTCCCAACTTGTCTCCTGATGTCCCATGTGGAGAGGAAAAAGTAGAGCTTCCTCCCAAGCCCTCCACTAATTCCTGTGCTGGGCTGAGCTCCAAGGGAGCGGGAAGTCAGCCTGATCTTGCATCCTGGGTCCCAACACCTTCTCTATGACAGGAGTTCCTGAGCCCGAAAGGGACCTAGGCAAGAGCGAGGGAGTCCATAGCATCTCTTCCATCCTGGGCTTCTGTCTCCCCTGCCATGGTGCTGGCTGGATGTGGGAGGTGACTGACAGAAAGTTGGCAGGAGAATCCTGAGTCTCTGGTTGGGGTCAGGGATTAACTGAAGTTTGTTGATTCCATCTGCTCAGCTGAGTCCCCTCCTCTCTATCCCCATTGTGAGGGGCTTGAAAGGAAGCCCTGCTTTCTCCTCTCCGTGTGGGGTCCCTGAGACCCCAGGCTGGGGCACAGGCTGGGGAGGCTGAAGATGTTGGGAGTTGAAGCTGTTAAGATACTAGGGGCTTGGAAAGACAGGGTGGGCCCAGCTCACATGTTGTGAGCCATACCCAGTCACGCCCCGGGCAGCCTGAGACCACAGCAACTGGCCTTGCATCAGAAGCCCAGTCTCCTTGGGCCGGAGAGCTATGGCGGGAGGAGCCACGGGAGACAGAAGCAGTGTACCAGGGTAACAAGAGTCCTTCTGAGGAGTAGCTGGTCCCAGAAGTGTCTAAAATGCAGCAGGATGGATTAGGTGAGACAGGAGAAAGAACTTCCTGACTGCAAATTATCAAGCACTGGGAGCCACCATGGGCGATTTGTGCTTCTGAGGTTTGTCAAAGGAGGGCTTTTTCCTCTTGGGGATGGTGGGTGGAGGCTGGGATTGGGAAGTTGAGGTTGGGGGCTCAGGAGTGGCCCCACTTACCATTCCTCCACTACCATCTCCTATCGCATGATTTTATTTAAGCTCATTCCAATGGAAATAACAGACAACAAAGAGCCACAGGGGGAAACTGAGGACCCAGACAGAATGGCATGTAAGACCATAATCCAGCTGCCCAGGCTACTGCCTTCACTTTAGCTGTTGTGTCCGAGTTGGTAAGGAAACGGAGATCCTGTCGTGGAGGAGGCAGGGGCGAGAGACAGAGTGCAAGGAGAGAGGCTGGGCCGAGTGTGGGCGGGGGTGGGACCCGGGAAGGTGAGGTAGAGAATGGAATCCAGGCGTCATGAAAAGAAGTTGAAGTCAGACCTCATCTTACTGGGAAGGGGCACAAGGGGGACTTTGGGCGGTGGTCACAGGAATTGTAATCATTTGATCTGGGTGGTGGCTACATGGGTATACACACGTGTGACAACTCCCTGCGCTGTCACTTCATATTGGAACATTTCACGCATTAAAACCAGGGCATCGTGTGGCATGCCATAGCTGCCTTGGAAGAAGAAGCTCTTCTTACTCAGTGAGAAGGTGGAATCTAGTGAAGTCCCAGGATCTGGAATCAGATTGTCTGCCACTTCCTGGGTGGGTGACCCCAGGCTACCCGACCACATCTGCAAATGGGCGCAAGGACAGCACCACCTACTTCCAGGGTTGTGTCAAGGGTCACGTGTAAATGACAGTAGGGGACTACTAAGAAGTTAGTGGTCATTGCCAAAGCCCCAGCCCAGCCCCTCACGCCAGGCTGCCCCCTTTGTCACTGGACCCTGGTTAGCCAGAGCCTGAACGCCCTGCATAGGCTCAGGGAGCCACGAGGTTGTGGGTCCTCAACACGCAGTGGTTGGTGGGTGACCTCCTTCCCTCCTCTGATGACCCGCTGTGCAGGGAGAACTTGTTTTTGAGAGAGTAAGAGGCGCTTCCTGAGAGATAGGGACTCACATCATGCGATGCAAGAGAGGGGGGTCATAGAAAGCTTGGCCTGACCAGGGAAGCCCAGCTCGAGGCTCGCGCACCCGGCAGCTCGCTCTGCAGTCCCAGCAGGATGCAGAGGACAGCTCTGTGCAGAGACCAAAACCCCTGATAATGGCACCACGCATCTTGTGGTGCTTCACTCAATGCTTCCTGGAGAGATCTGAATATGAGATACAAGGGAACCTGTTAATTTTGTTAGTTATTATGATAACTAGCTGGGCCTCAACTGGCCTCATAGTTACGTAGGGAAATGTCCTTTGGTTTTAGAGATTCATCTTAAAATAACTGGGGATGAAAGGTCATGATATCTCTAATTTATCTCAAAATATCTCAACCCAAAAAAGCAAATGATGCAAATATTACTTTGTAAAGGCTAATAACGGTCAAAATGAGGACTCGGGAGGGAACGAGTGTGAGAAATTCCTATACTGACATTTTTCTGACGTCACTCCAAAGGAACGGGTATTTCCATGTTCATTACACTATTTTCTACTTTTTGGGGCATGTTTGAAATTTTCCAAATTAAAAAAAACCCTGTAATGTGGTGGAGAGATTTAACTGTGTTTCACTCTCTTTCTGAAATATGCGTAAGGTATGTGAGGATGGCTCCCACATGCTGCATGTCTTCCCGGGTGCAGTGACAGCTGCTTTGAGCGGGGAGGTCACACGAGGAGGCTGGTGTCTGGGCGGCTGAGGAGGGGCCGGAGAAAGGGATGGGGCTTCGTCTCGGCCTCTGGCCCCATTCCTGCATCCACAGCCAGGGGGGCCACAGAGAGGGGCTGGGCAGGCGGCAGGCTCAGCCCACCCAGGCTGAGTTACCGTGGAGGCTGCCCACAGTGTGGGGAAGCCCACGACCTGTCACCTGGCCTGCCCTGACAAATCGCCATCGCCCCCACCCCGCCCTGCCCTGCAAATTGTCTGGCTATGTAATGAGTACACCCCATGTCATCAGGATGCCCGCCAGCCCTGGGGATCCCTGAGCAGGTGGTGGCAGAGACGGCTGACTAGGGGTCCCCAGGGCTCCTGAGCTGGGGATCAGGAGGGAGGAATGACCTGTCACATGGTTCACTCAGCAGTTTCATCTCCTTCTAGTCCCTCAGGAGTCCTGCCTGGAAGGCCACGGTCATTTCAGAGCCGTGAGGCTCATGGGGAGACAGTATGCTCCACTCCAGGGTGGTGCCGGCCCCCAGCCCAGGCCTCTCTTCCCATTTCTCCTGCAGGCTGGGCCAAAGGCTCTCGCCCTCCCTTTTGCGATAAGGAAACTGGGGCTTTTCCAGAGATTCCACAAGTTCTCAAGACCAACTGGCCATAGTCATGGAGTGGGGTGAGGACCAGGTCTCCGGGCCCCGCTCAGGTTCCTCACGGAAGCTCTGAAAACGTCAGGGAAGTCTGAGACTCGGGCACCGGGATGGGAGGGTGGAAACCTCTGCGGCAGCTTGCTTTTCCAGGACAGGCGCCCACGAGCCCTGGGCAGGCCTCACTGAGGCAGCCGCTTCCCAAGAGGAGGAGGCCTGACCCCGCTGCAGCCATGCTTCGGAAAGCCCGCCGCAGGGCCAGGAGGGCCTGGGCAGCTGTGGGCAGCCTCTGGAGAGCCAAGAAGCAGATGGCTGGGCAGGGTGGCGAGGGGGGGCCTTCAGGAGCAGATGGCCAGCCACCTGACTCACGGAGGAGTTAGAGGAGCCAAGCCTCCCCCAACCGCTGGACCATGCTGCCTCCGGGGAAACCTGGGGGCTTCCTCTTCCATCTGCGGTCAAGCCCACTGGCTCTGCCAACAGAAGCTGTTTTAGGATTTCAGGCGGAAGTTTGGCCCATTTCGCGGAACTCTTCAGGGCACTGTCCTGCCTCCTCCAGGGAGCCTTCCCTGACAGCTCCTCCCAGAGACCCAGCTCTGGGAGGCTGCACTCCACATCCACCCTGGCTCTTCTTCCTTGGTCGCTGGCTCTGCTCTTCCCTACCAGTCTGAGAATCTTCCTAGGGCAAGGCCTGGGTCTGTCCCTCCGCTGTTAACACCCCTCCCCCCACCGTTGGGCTGGGCATTGCCCAGAACAGCTCCGCTGTCACCAGGGAGCAGCCCCTGGGCCTGCTGTCCAGGAGGTAGGGGTAGTGGAAGGCCTGACGGGTGGCCTTGGGGTGGATTTCCTCTTTAGCGACACTGGAGATTTTCTTCCCTTTTTGTTTTTGCTTCCCTGTTCAGAGATTTCCCCTTTCCAGGCTGAGGTCAGGGCGCCATAAACAGGAGTGATAAGGCCTCGGGCCTTCAAACTGAACTTTGTTGCTGCCATTTTATGGCCCTGATAACGTCAGCCCCCCCCTCCCCTGGAGTCCAGCTGGAGCAGGATTGCCGATGTCCATTCAGCCTGGGAACAAGTGCCGGAGGGGAGAGGTAGAGAGAACTGGATTCCCTGTCTCCAGCCTGCCCTCGCCCAGTCCTGGTTGAGTCCCCTCTTCCTCTGGGGGCCCAGCCCTGCACTGGGCTGTCAGGGACATGGGCGGGGAGAGACCTAAGCCCTTGATGCCATGGGATGGTCAGAAGAGCCCAGGCTGGGAGGTGAGTAGGGCTGAAGTGTGGAGTCAGAGGTGAGAGGGCAGTGTGCACTGGCGCAATCAGGGACGGCTGTCTGCAGGGGGAGCTGGTGCTGTGTACAAAGTGAGTAACATGTGGAAACACGGGGCAGGATAGGCATTGGAGGAGCCAGACCTGGACTGTCCCAAGAGGAGGGACAGATGTGACTAGCATGATAGGAGGCCTTGCTAAAACCACCCTTCACCTGGGCTGAAAAGCCTCCAGGAATGGGGGGATGAAGGGCCAGTGGTGGTCCCAAGATGCCCAGCCCATCCAAGGAGAAATTGAGCAGTTTGGGGACCAGGGCTGGGAGAGCCAGAGGGTGGTCGGTGAAGCCTGGAGGCTCCATGATACTGAGGGGAGCTGTGGCCTCAGGCCCTGAATTCATTAGGGCTCTGAGTGCTCCAGAAGTGGGGCCCACGGATAGCAACGGAAGGAGGGGAAGCTCTTGTCAATCAGTGGTCAGAAGGTCTGCTCCCAGGGCAGGCAATGAGCGCCCCTCCCTCAGGGTATGCAAGACATCAGTAGATGGAAACACAGATTCCTGCCCAGATGGAGATGACAGTCAGGGAGGTGGAAGGGACTAGATGGATACATTCCACCCTTCCACCAGCCAACCTGGAGCTGGCGCCAGACCTAGAACCCACCTGGGTGTTACGCTGTGCACAAGCAGCAACCCCTGGTTCCTCAAGCCCTGGGGTAGGGGTAGAGAGAAAAATCAGCCTCAGTCCAGTTCTGTTTGGTAGGGGACAGGTATGGCTCCCCTGTCTTGGGGCCTCCCTTTTGGGTAGATTCAGTGAGTCTTGAGGTCTTCCCTGATCTTAGAGGGAGGGGATCCATGTGTCTCCTGCCTCAGCCCGAATCTGCCTCACAGACTAGGTGAGCCATCCACAGACACACGCGGGCACACCCACACACCGGGCGTGCTGGCACAGGCCAGGGGCACACACATCCCCATGTGGGGATGCAGCAGAAGAGTGAGGAAGAGGAGGCCACTGCTTGTTGGCCGTTTGCTCCTTGTCAGCTTTCCCCCTGCACGTGGCTGGCCCTTTCTGCTCTAAACCCTCCAACCCCTTAGTGCTCACCACCTTCCACCTCGTGCTCCCTACCTTTCACTTCTGCTCAGTGAGAGGACACAGGAAGGGTCTGCTTGTCACACACCTGATTCCCCAAAGTCCCTTCCCAGGTCCTGGGGTCCCCTGGTGCTGCTGAGACGTCACTCCTCCATGTAACACCCAACGCCCCACAAACACCTCTAAACTGGCCCAGCCCACAACGACGAGCCGCACAGCCTCCCTCCCACTCACCGTCTACCAGACCGTCTATTTCAATCAACCACAGTCCCTACCCCTGCACCTGCTGACTCCTCGCCCCACACACACCCGCAGCCACAACAAGAAAGGCAAATGTGGAGCTCGCTCGCATCCATTCTCCCTCCCCCACCTCCCACCTCCCACCGGTGTTTCAGATCGTCGCGCGGAGCGGGCTCCGGATTGTGCTAGAAGAGACTAGGCGCGACTGAGACCCCTCCCTTCGGGTCTAGATCCGGTCCCAGGCGGAGCGGCGAGGGGAGACCGGGTGCTCCGAGCCCTCCTTCCCCTCACACGGGCGTGCGCACGGACAGCTGGTCTCCCGCCGCTCCCACTCCACCCCCCGTTGCCGGGATTCTGGGTGGCCCTGTGAACACTCACCGCGGGGCGGAGGGCGCAGGCGAGGGCGCCGGCCAGCAGGCAGAGCCAGCGGCCCCGCAGCGGGCTCGGCGGGCTCATGGGCGCCCTGAGCCCGCGCCGGGCGGCCCCACGCTGGTAATGGGCCGGCCGACGGCGCACCGCGCGGTCGACGGCGGGAAGGCTGGCAGAGTGGAGCTGCCGCGGTGGCCCCCGCGCTAAGAGACGCCCAACGGGGCTGGGGCGGGCCCCGGGGGCTCGTCTGAAGGGCGGCGGGTCCAGCCAATGGGCCGGCAGAGGCGGGACCTCAGCGCAGGTGTGGGCGGGGCTGGGGCACCCCGAGAGTCGGGAGTCCCTGGGTTCCCTCCGCCTATCCCTTACGTCAGTCCTCCGTTTCGGGCAGTGACAGGCCTTCGCCTCCTCCACTGCGTCCCGGGAGTCTCGAGACCCTAATGTGCCTCATTCATCTCTTTGGCTCACGACGTTTCCAAGCGTCTGACTACCATCTCCCCTCCAGCTCGCGGCCCCCCGCCCCCCCGCCCACCCCGCGCCCGGTCCCTCAGGCCCGCCCCAGGGCGCTTTGCCTGTCCACCTTCAGAACCACCTCCTGGAGACCCCTCAGCCAGCTTCCCCATTTCCCACTTGTGCACCTCGGAGGACTGGTGCGGGCGGGCCGGACCACGATACAGGACACGGCCCTTCTTATCCCCCAGGTTGCCGGCGGCTGGGCCTGCGTGTAGGGTCCCGGGCTGCAGGCGACTCGGAGTAAGTGCGGCGCGTTGTTTGCTCCATTTTCAATCATCCTTACTCATTGCGGGCGAGGGCAAGCAAGGGCTCGAGTGAGGCCTGACACTGGGTTCCTCGGTGCCTCTCGGAACCCAGGCGACCTGGCAGGGCGCACTCGGTACCGGCTGACCGGCTTCAGCGGACAGTGTGTCCGCGCCCTCGCGCATTTCAGCGGGGGCGCCTCCTGAGCGAGGCTGGGCCTTAGTTCCAGCGCCTCCACGCGGGGATGGAAGAGTTTGCTCCCAGCGCGAGGGCCCCGACTCTGGGCAACCGACCTAAAACCAGAGACCTCCTCCTCCTCCTGCCCGGGAAACTGAGGTCCAGAGAAAGGTCCGGATGGGGGACTCTTGCCTCTGGTGCCTCGTTTCCAAGCCTCGGCGGGTCGGCTCCTGGGTGACATCGGGCCAGCCTGCCTCCGCTGCGCGGCCTCAGAGCTCAGTTTTTTCGCGCCTGGAGCGCATCTTTTTGTGGACCAAGCGCAGGTGGCTGTTCTGCCTTCTTTTCGAGGGCTTGAGACTGTGCAATCGAGACTGGAGGTGGCGCCAAGCGCAGGTGGCTGTTCTGCCTTCTTTTCGAGGGCTTGAGACTGTGCAATCGAGACTGGAGGTGGCGACGGTGGCAGCGGCGGGGGACAGGTGGATTGTAAATATGATAGAGAGATGCGGGAGGGTGGTGTTAGTGGAGAGGCAGAGAGGGCGGTGCGTCCCCGGGGGCCTAGGGGGATTCGCAGCTGCGTTGAAGGATCTTCAACTCCCGGCGCTGGCAGACCAGCAAGTGTGTCGGAGTGGAGTTCCCTGCGCACCCACCCAGGTTTCGCTCAGTACAGCCAGGGAACTCCGGCCACTGGCCTGCGCGGTGGAATGGAGTTAGGGGGTCAGGGAGAAGCTGGGGAGGAATGAGGGCTCAGCCTCTCTTGATTTTGGGCTTTCTGCTCTCCCTCCCTTCCCTGCCTCCTTCCATCTCTCCCTCCCTCCTTTCCTATCTCGCAGACTCTACTGTACTCTGGGGCACGAAGGTGGGTAAGACAGGGGCACCTCTTGTTGGAGGAGGAAGTGGGGAGCTATTGTACTCCCCATAGATTTCACCTCCTTCCGGGGGGGAATCAGTGAGCCTGGCTCAGGCCCTTCCCCAGACAGGGGAAAACTGGGAGATGCGTTCGCATTGGCCATTCTGAGGTCTGGATCCAAGCCCTCCCTGGAGGAAGTGTTTGAAAAATCAGCAGCCACATACTCACTCAGCCACCCTCACTTCTGGGGGCCAGGTTAGGCTCAGGAGCCAGGGGTCCTTGCTTCACCTTGTGACCCTCTCAGTCCCTCTCCTCAGGCCTCAGTTCTCCAGCAGGACAATGGAATCATGTCCTCAGTCTGGGGAGCTGTCTGCTGGCACAGTGTCCTGGGAGTCCCGGATGAACGGCGAATCCATGGGCTTTGGCGCTCATGAACCCCCCCACCAGCGCTCCCTACACACGCACTCCCTAGCCAGCTGCGGCTGAAATCCCAGTGTTGATGCTTGTCCCCCTGGACTGTTGAGGTTCTGCTCTCTCTGGGAACAGAGACCACGGGTACTTGAGTGGTGACAGTTTGGGGGGGGGGGTTGGGGAACAGCAGGGAGCCAGAATCCACTTTGGCACGTGATCTTCTGGGGGGGTGGGAAATCTGAAGGCTTCCAGCGGGGGATGGGCTGCCTCTCCCCTGTTCCAGAGAGTGGTCCCCAAAAGCCCCCTCCTTGGCTCAGGGCTGCTTGGGCAGCCTGCAGGCAGTGAGCGGTGCTGGCAGGGCCTCTAGATGCTCGTGCGGCCCCGGGCTCCCAGGAAGGAAGTGGTGACTGAGGGAGACTAGTGTCCTTGCAGATCCTTTGCAATGAAAATTACTTCTCCATTCTGTCAGAACTGCTCTCCTGGGGCACCCACCCTTCCTTACCTATCTAAAACCGCCAAATAAATTCAGAGGTGAGAGAAAAAAGGAAACTGCAAAACCAAACAAAACCAAGGCTAAAATAGGGCATATTTCAACCAATTGTTGCTGAATGTGCAGTCCAGGGTTCTGAGGCACAGGGCGGGGGGTGTGTGTGGATCAGCTATGTCCCACTCTTGAGGCGTCCTGTGGCGTCTGATGAGGAGAAGCCATCTCTCACCTGTCAGATGAGCCAGGAAGGCTTCTGGGTGAGAGAGGGAGATGAGAACCAGGAGGTGGGGAAGCAGGTTACCCAGCACTGGGACCTCTGTTCCCCATCCCCTGCCCTGTCCCTCTGGCTTGAGGAGGGGGCCACAGCCACCCCCTGCCCTCTCTTCCCCATGTCCTCTTGCATGGATTCCTCCCAGGGATGTTCTGTCCTGAGGTCCCTCCCTTGGGTCCCTGAAACCAGTCCCCAAGTCTCTGGCCCAATCCCTACCTCACGTCTCGATTCAGATTCCAGAATCTCAGGGGGACGGAGGTAGAGGAAAAGAGAGAGAGAGAGGCAGAGTCACTTGCCGTCCCCCGTGACTAAGGACAGGCACGACAAACAAGGGAGGAAAGGATTTGTAGTTACTCATTGGGAGCCTGCCTGGCTTCCTGGCTGCCTGCCTCATCCCCGCAGGCCTTCCCGCACCTCCCCCAGGCCTTCCCGCGCCACCTTGAGCCATCACTCACTCCTCACGGCTCCCAACTCAGTCACTCAGTGGTCGCCACCGGCTGGGTTCTGCCGAGGTGTGGCAAGGGCAGCAGGGACCTGGTTCGTGGAGTCGCCCCTTCTAGAGCCATCCACGGGGCTGTGTGGGTACAGACGAGCTTTGTCCTCCCTGGGCCTCGGAGTTGAAGGGACCCACGCCTTTAGGTCTTGACCCATGGAGTGGGGCCCGGCAGCCCCAGGGAGATGAACGGCTCACCCGGGGGCCCCTCCTTTGCGCCCAGTTCTTCCTGTGAGGAGCCACATCTTAACTCCAAGCTCTCAATTCCAAGGTCTGGTGGAAGGCGGGGGAGGCCCAGGCAGGTGTTGGAAAGAGAAAAGCCCCCGCCCTCACTGCAGGTGAGAGCTTACAGCGCACCGTGTCTCTTCATTCCTCACGTGTCATCACGTGGGCTGCCTGGCCCGGGGAGGGGTGCTGGAGCTGTTACACTGACTTCGTCACGGGCTGCCCCTCCGGGGGACCCTGGCACTGCTTGGGCGGGGCCCTGGGGCTGGGCGAGGGGGCATCTTCTGGTGGCGCCCCAGGAAGGAAACAGAGGCCATGGACGTGCAGGTGATGGAGGGAGAACCGTCCTGACTTGACTGAGGGGACATGAAGCCGAGGACCGGTTCCGAAATGGTCACGGGGTGTCCAAACTTTTGGCATCTCACTTTTGAAAAGTTGGCATCAAACTTTTGGCCATGCTGGAAGAAGAGTTGTCTTGGGCCACCCATTAAATACCCAAAAGCTAACGAAAACTGGCGGGCAAAGAAAAAGTTTTAAGTAAATTTACGATTTTGTGTTGGGCTGCATTCACAGCCGTCCTGGGCCACATGCGGCCCACAGGTCTGGGGCCAGACACCCCTGGCACCATCCCTTGGTCCTGGACACTACAGCTGAGCGCTCTGGAGGGAGGGTGGGGAAGGCGGAGATGTGTCAGCTCAGGTCCTCCAGCGAGCAGAGGCTACAAGGGAGTTCGGATCGTGGAGGTTTATTGCGTGTCAGGGGACTCTGTGGAAGGCGGAGGAGGAGGAAGCAGGATCAGGCAGGGAGAACCTCAGACCTGGCGCAGACCTGGCAGTGAGCCCTGAGCAAAGATGGCTCGCAGACGCGGAGCCACCCTGCTGTGCCGGTCAGTGGCCGGGCTGTCTGGGAAGAGCGGGGGGCCTTGGCTCCCTCAAAGGCTGTGGTGCATTCTGGAGGCTCCAGCTCAAGGCTGTCAGCTGCCTGCCTCCTTCACAGCCGAGTGGCAAGTCCTTTCTTGGGGCAAGATGCAAGCAACGCATGTCTATGGCTACCACAGAGGGAAAACTGCGGCTTAGGGGCCACAGGGCAGTGAGTCTGGGAGGGCCCTCTCTCCTTTTTATACGCCACCAGCAGCCACAGTCTCTTGGTCTAGCGCCTACTGTGGTGAGTGTGTGCCTATGTGTAGGGCAGCATGGGGAGGGGTGGGGGGGATATGTGTCCTTATGCATGGCCTGACTCAGCGCAGGCACATCTGCTCCCAGCTGGGGTCTGAGAGCTGGGCTTGGCCGGTGTGTGCTGGGAGGCGGTGGAGGCAGGGGCAAGCTTCTGGGCAACTAGGGCCCGAGGAAGGCTGAGCCTCGGGGAGGGTGCCGGGGACCACACACGACACCAGGCTACCTCTCAAGAGTTAGTTCC